ATCCCTCTCAACGAATTCTTCAGTGTTGGAAAATGTTCAGCGTTTCCGCAATTCGCTGAGCAATCGATCTGAAGGATAAAGAGCAATATTCCATCCGTACTCAGATTTAGCAAAATAAAAAAAGGATGGGTTGTTCCAGGGTAAATTCAGCCCTTTCTAATGAGCCACGCACTTGACTTCAAACCAGAAATGTGGAGAAACATATGTGTATTTGCTTCATACGATGACTTGATGACTTGCTGTTGTACAGACCAACTCTCGCCGTCCTAAAGGAGTCTGGATGTAGTTAGGCGATTTTGTATAATGGAGTTGAATCCGGTACTTTCGGTTCAAGGTAAGTTGCAACATGCTAGCCAGCCACCCCTTATGGTTAGCTCGTTCATAGGCTGAAAGGGGAACTGGGTAAACCATATGACCCTGTTTATTATGGAATTGCATGGATTTTCCTGGAAATAGCGGTGAATGGGCAAAACAAAAACAACTCAATAGGCTCTCGCTCTTCTTTCCTGATTGCATGTATACATCGTTCACAGGACTCACATTGCTTTTTGGAAATAATGGTTTTCTAGAAAGAAGGCTTTTCTGGTATGTTTTGGCAAGTTCTTCTCGTGATCGCTGTACCGCTTGTGCTGTGGTGGAGATTTTCAAGGAAACGAACAGTCATATTGCATGGAAAGGTCCATCCGAGCTTCGAACATGTTCGCGAGAAATTCAGGTGAGTGAGTTTCTTTGCGAAAAACCGATAATGACTGGTAATTTTAAGCGCTATGATACAACAAGACAACGAAGGCGCTGCGCTGGCAGTCCTCCACCGAGGAAAAGTTGTTGTTCATTTGTTCGGAGGTTATGCTAACAGGTATCAGTATTTTTTACTTGGAGTAATCTATTTAAAGCGAGGGATTACGATAAGTTTGGACTGGGTTCATAGTGGAAGTGGAGATGCTGAATAATGCCCCAGTGGCGAAAAAAGCAAAGAAATCCGTCAAGAAGGCGCAAAATGGGACCCCTTCCTTTGCC